TATATATAAAGCTTTATAAACCCTTCTCACACTCTTGCAATATTCCAGACAATGTTTCTAAACTCTAAGCGCTCTAAAAGAGCATAGCATGTCATGATCTCTGCTCTCTGCCAACTGCCGCTCTCTGCCAACTGCCGCTCTCTGCCACGCCCAAGTGGATGTGGCTGAGAGCAGCAGGTGGCAGAAAGCAGAGGTCATGACATGTTGCAGGAGTGAGCTTCTCCTTGCACCTGTGGGCTGCACACAGGTGCAGCAGGTGCTAAATAATTTTAAATAATTTATTTTAAATAACAAATCCATAACGATTGTGCGACTCATCCATCAATCAGCCAATTGTGTGTCATGTCCAATCTCACTTTGAAAAACTGCGAAAGAGTGAGTTTGCGAAAGTCAAACCTGGAAGTAGCGAGGGACTACTGTACACCCTTTCCCCAACAAATACACTATTTTTCATTTGGGTCAAAAATATATTTTCTAAATTATTTCATATTTCTGTCTCGGATGCATCAGGCTAATTTGATGTTTATTTGCAAGAATAAAACTTGTATTTTTGCAATGATAAAGCTTAGAACTCACTTGCTCCTTACACTCTTCTTCAGAACATTTTAATAAAATTGGTATAACTGTTTTAAATATTTCAGATGATGTTTTATCTCATTTTTCTTTTACATTTCCAAACATCTACGAACACAAAAGTAAAATGCATCTTGGCCACTTTGAAAATCAAAGTCTGGGAAACAAACGTCTCTGCACACTTTTCTTGATGTTCTTGCAGATGACGACAAATTGTTGATGATTATTAAATTTATTCTCACTTCATTAGTTCAACCTGATGACATTAGTCTCAGAAAGTGATGCTGAACATCATCTATCACCATCTGCAACACTCTTGGGGTATCCCTCCAGAAATCATTGCGACGGTCAACACACTTTACTTACTGTATGTTCACTGTTTTAATTAATCAGAAGCAGGCAGTCAAAACAGTGCTATGCTCTTGCAATTAGTCTCCCCCGCCTGTAATAACACTTTAACTGGCTACAGATGGCTGCATTCAGTGTATTCTTTGTGCTGTGGGGGCAAAACTCAATTTGCTCGCTGCACATCAACAGAACAACTGGGCCAAGTGTCCTTATTAATATTCCTACTGTTGCTTCTCCCAATTATTTGTTCTTACATTTTAATTGAGATGAAGTTAGGTTTTGCCAAGAGCGTCTAACCATGACCTCAACTGTCCCACAAACTTACTGACCCCAATATCAGACCTTCAGGGGAAGCGCTTGTTTTGTTTTGGGGCGCCGAGCCATTTCGCTTGTCATGTTGTCAAAGCCAGGTTGACAATGCAAGGTCCATTATCCTGCTTCATCTGGGGCGTTTGTCTTTGGGCGTTTAAAGCGTTGCATTTTGCTGTCACAGTTGGAGCTGTCCACTCGTTAACCAGGACGATGGTGAACGCTGCGCAGCAGACTGAAACTGAAACCGTGTTTGTTCAAACTCGGGCAGATGAATGATCAGTGACAGACGGTGATGCAATCAAAGCTGATGCGGAGCAAGATGGATGTTTAACTCGACAAGAAGCTGTTAGAAACGTAGAAATATTCATAAACTGCATCTATCTGCATTTAAGGAAAAGCGTCTGACTAAATGCCAAATGTCTTCTTCAACTTGAACAAGGTTGTAGGTTTTGTGTAATTCCTGCTCTCAGCAGATCTACTGTAGATAATGAGTCTAAAGTTACTAGACTCTGCCTGACTTCTCATTTAAATGCATATGTAATGATTTTGTGCAAGCGGCAGTCTGTCAGGCTTATTTTATTAAAAGGTTGCTATATCGGGCTCTGGGATTTACACAAAGATCCAGAGGGAGTAATGGCAAGAAGCAGAAATCTTTTTCATTTATCTCCTCTACTTTAGTAAGATTTTTCCGCAATATGTCACATTATTTAAAAAAATTCTTACTCTTTGTCTTTTTCTCTCTTATGTCGGACAGATCTACCTACGTTTTCTGGACTACGAGATGGCAAACTCCAACGAATGCAAGCGCAACTTTGTAGCGGTGTACGATGGTGGAAGGTAGGACTTTCTGCCATGCTCCGATTTGATTGTTTGGTCGTTATCGTGTAACAGAATGAAAACTTTGAACTTGAGTTTTCTTAACAAGGTATAGACTCACAACTAAAATGTTTTAGTAAATTTAAGAGATAGTTTTGTTTCTGTCAAGTGAGATTTCATGCAAAGATTATGAATTATTAATGTCCTACCTATCGTAAGTTAGCTAAATGTTCTCAGTTTTAGGAAATACTATTTAATTTTGATCAAAAACACAAACTACCACCTGCTGTGAGTGGAACCAGGATCAACGTGGAATCATGTCCTTTAAACAACTCCATTCTCAGCCGTTTATATAAATGCTGCTTAATAAATGTTTACATTTCCATCAGATTTGACTATTGCATCTGAAATATTATAAGATTCTTACTGGAAGTGCCCCAGACAGCATCAGATGCTATAAGATAGCTTCAACCATCATAAATAATCATAGAATTATGTGTCGTGCAAAACTGGCAGTGATGTAAAAGTTAAAAATATATATATAATTTGCATGAACTTCTGAAAAATCTTTGAGATTGGAGACATTTTGAGATTGTATGTTCCTGCTCAAACTAGCCATTAGCTCATCGGTCTGATCAGAATTACTCTCTGCTTCTCCAAACTGAGGTTGTTCCAAGATGTAAGTTATTATTCCAACTAGGTATTTCTGCAGACAAATACAGAAGGCGTATCTGGAGGGCCACATCTGATTGGACAATTAAAAGAAGGCATTACTGGAAGGCCACATCTGATTGGATGATAAAACACAAGGCGTTATTGGCCGATTGTGTTAACCACAAGCATTTTATGTCTTTGGTGTTAACTGGTTCAACATTAGCGGCGTCTCCATAACTTCACTTTCTGCCTCTCTCAACGCAGAACTTCCGGTTACATTTCAAAATAAGAGCAGCATAACTGGGTAGTGGGGGTGGCTAAATGTTTGTTTTTTAATACCTAGCCATTATATTAAAAAACTAAATCTGTTTTGGTTGTTAAATAATGTGAAAATAGTTACAATCAATTCATAAAGAAAGAAAAATAAAGTAACCAAAATAATAATGATACTTAAACTGGCCTAGGGACAAAGGATGTTTCCTTTAACTTCACATTTTCTTGTTCAACCTTTTTAAATCAGTCACTGCAGATGAGTGATTGTCAGTTTATGTAAGATTTCTGCAACTGGGGCAACTATTTCTGTTTACTGGTTACTGGTTCTCAGCTGTCTCAGATTTTAAGGGTCAATCCTACGCCATGTTTCAGCTCCTTTCATAGATCAGATCTCATAGAAGAACTTCTAAAGAACACATTCTGTTTTTAGCGTTTGTTATGGGCCATTATTTCATTACAGGACTCATGATCTTTAATTGAGACCAGACTTTTTGACAAATAGGAGCAGGTTTCGCTTCAGCTGTTCATATTTCATTGTACCCAGACCACACTCAAGCCAACCTGTGTCAGGTGCAGCCTACAACCAAGAACAAAAGAGAATCTTGTTGTGTTTAACAGCAGATATAACGCTGGTTCTTAGAAACCTTCAGTTTATAAAAAGAGCTGACGAAACTTACCTAAAGCAAATACACCTAGCCAATCATTGTTTGCCCTTTAGAAACGCCTATTCTCCAGAAACGCCCACTTTTTGGTCTGCAGAGAACCCCTTCTCTATTATTTGGTCACAATCTTTTCACAGAACCGCACTCCAAAAGGTTTTGTACTATTTCTTTGCAGTTGAACATTTAAAGAGTTTTCTAGATGAAGGCTGAATGGAAAGATTTTCATTTCTCATGTTATGAATGAGTTTAGATTAGATAAAGAATGGGAAATGAATCCAGCCTTATGATAATGTGGGGCACAACCTAAGTAGCACTCCATCCTTGCATTTTGATGTTTTTGTACTAACTCATTAAAACATTGTGAACAGTAATGTCTGGATGTAAACCTGAACTACATTTTCTGTGCTGAAAGGACCTAAGTCTGATAGATTGTCAAACAAGGCATACTCTAGGAATCGTGTCTCCTGTATGAGGGCTGCAGGTATGAGCCGAGCTGTGTGTGACAGGGCTGCAAAGAAAAAGACGAGAATAAAGAACAAAGATACTACTCTCTAAAAGAAATCTGCTGTCCATCAGCACATTGAAAGGACTAAAAAGAGAAGTGTTAGACTTCGGTTAAAGACAACGCTGCATTCCAGCATATATTCTGAGTTTTTCTGCCAAAAAATACGTAAAGATTTTTTTTTATTATTTTATAGATCAAAGATCAGGTTTGGTTTATTTGTGATATGTAAAATCAACACAAGGTCAACAATGCAATGATAATGTATGCTCAGAACAAGAAGAACCGTCTTGACTCACCAAGAAAAACAACAAGAAATATCAAAGCATGCAACAAAAATATGAAAACAAGACGCCAAAAGTGAAAAAGAAATACATCTACAGCAGTATGGTCCTGTTAGCAGAGTGGTTCTGTTGGCAGTGAGGTTCTCTTGGCAACGTGGTCCCGTTAGCAGCATGGTACTGTTAACAATGTGGTCTTTTTAGCAGTGTTAGCAGGTCTTGTTAGCTGCTTGATGATAATAAGGACCGCAGCGGGTGACCTCCAGAATTGGGTACGGCAGACAGAGAACATCCATGGTTTCCCCACGGTGGAACCAAACGGGTCCGTAGAGTTGAGTCCGTGCAGGCAGGTGGAGCATTATGGAGACGGCCACCATGACAGGCCGGAGCCTGAGTCTTGATCTTAATTGATTTGGAATATTTGTAAGAACCAGAAATGAGTATTCATGTGAGAAAACACCAGAGTTGGGGCTAATTTCTAAAACAAGAAAGGTCTAAATTTCTTCAAGCTGTTGTGCAAAGCTGATCAAAAATCCATCACAGATACTGTAGATCCATCCATTCATCCATTCCTCCATCTACCCATCCATTATCTTCTGCTTATTCCAAAGTCAGGTCTCGGGGGCAGCAGCTTGAACGTGGAGATCCTGACATTTCTTTCCACAGCCACCTCTTCCAGCTCTTCTGGGAGAACTCCAAGGAGTTCCCAAGCCAATAGAGAGACAGTCTCTCCAGCATGTCCTGGGTCTTCCCCGGGGTCTCCTCCCAGTCAGACATGCCCAAAGCGCCTTCCCAGAGAAGATGCCTGAACCACCTCAACTGGCTTCTCTCGGTGTGGAGGAGCAGCGGTTCTACTCTGAGTCTCTCCCGGATAACTGAACGTCTCACCCTGTCTCCAAGGGAGAGGTCATGGATAGATATTATTGCTTATTGGTCTGTGTCCCTGTGACGGACTTGTGACCTGTCCACGGTGTCCCCCGCCTCTCACACAGTGACTGCTGGACACTCGAAAAGGAACAAACAAGCAAAAGATAATGGATGGATGTTTTTCTAGCTTATATTAATATACTGTAGCTTTGGGAATTGTGTGAAAAGAATATGAAGGTCTTATTTATAAAAAACGTAAAATTCACTAAGAATTCTTGAAAGGAGCATGCGTTCTAATCTTCCCCTTGTCTTGTTTTAGTTCGGTGGAAGATCTGAAGAGCAAGTTCTGCTCCACGGTGGCCAACGACATCATGCTGGTCTCCACTCTGGGAGTCATCCGCATGTGGGCCGACGAACTCAGCCGCAGGAGTCGCTTTCGCATCCTTTTCACCACCTATCAAGAGCGTAAGACGAGAGTTACGAAACACACACGCCTTCACATATTCAACTGTGCTGTAGTTTTTTGATGACCAAGTAAAACTGGTTTTATTAGCAGCCATGAAAGGAAGACGGAGGCACAGTGGCAACTTTTATGACAACTTACTGCCTGCTGGATTGTTTTTACTCTTTAAATGGTAAATAAAGAGAAATGAAAATGCCAGTTTTAGTACAGGTAATATTCCCTTTGTGTAACAGTGATATCCCCTTGACGCTAAACTAACAGATGGGACATTGGCGTTTTACTTAACTCCTTTTGTTACAGGAAACATATTAAGCCAAAGCTGAGGCAACAAAAAGGAGTGAGCTAAAGTGTCATATCAATCATATGTTGAGAAATGATGGATATAGCTGTTTTGGTCAAACCTTGAAAATAACGTTATGCAATCTCACAAGCTCTAATGCATATGTGTCAAACTCGAGGCCCGGGGGCCAAATGTGGCCCTTGTGGACATCTTATCTGGCCCCCAAGATTATGTTTTAAATGTAAAATACTTTTATCATTTTAATTTTTTTCAGTAATCTTTTATTATGATGTCAAAAGTGCAACAGAGAATGTCAAATGAGACCAATCGAACTCTGGAACCTGCAACCAAGAAAAGATGTTTGGTATCCTTTTTTTTTTTTTAAACCGGCCCTTAGTTTGAAAAAGGTTTTAATTCTTGGCCCCCTTTTTCAAGTGGGTTTGACACCCCTGCTTTAGTGTGATCTACTAGTGCTTGGATCATGTCATGAATGATTCTCAGCTACTACCACACCACTGACTGAGATATACATGTAGATGTTTAAGTATAGAAATTCAGTAGTCTCTCGCTACTTCGCCGTTCGTTTTTTGCAGACTCGCTCTATCGCGGTTTTTCAAAGTAAGATTGGACATGACACACAATTGGCTGATTGATGGATGAACTGCACGATCGGCATGGAATTTTTATTTAAAATAAACTATTTTAAACTATTTAGCACCTGCTGCACCTCTGTGTAACCCATACTGCAGGAGAAACTTCCTCCTGCAGCTCCTCCTCCTTCCTCCTCTGTCGAGCTCCATTCTGCAGCGGAAAAGTGGGCGTGGCCCCGAGAGCACAGAGTACAGCTGTGGCGGAGAGCTGATTTCATGTGCTCTTTTAGAGCGTTTAGAGTTTAGAAACATTGTTTAGAATATTACAAGAGTGTGCAGGGTTTAAAACACCTTTTATTTGAATATATATATACCAGTATATAAATACTAAAATTAACTACTGTTTAACTATTCCTACTTTGTGGTTTTTCACTAATTGTGTGGCTTCAGGGTACGGATCCCCCCGCGATAAAAGAGCTGTAATGTAATATCAATTAGCTGTGGTGGCCAAATTGAATTGGACTGACTCCAATTATATTACTTGTATCACTTATAGATATGCATTCAATAATTACTTTCTGAAAGCTTAATTAAAATCTGTTCGTTGTTTAGAGATACATTGGTAACAGATAAATAAGGTTGACTAAAAGTAAATGCAAAACTTTGAAGTAAATATTTTTGCACCATGTGTAAAAAGTGGAATATGTGTTGGAGAGTATTCTGAGCTACCACCACACAAAATTCCAGCTCACTACTTATAACAGACTGAGTTGTAGTCATCTTATGTTCATAATTTGCCATCTTGAATCAGGTTGATTTGAAAAGGTAATCCATTGTAGTTGTGTTAATGAGTACCTCCTGGAAGTTTCATTAAAATCTGTCCATAGATACTGGAGATATTTCAATAAGACTCTAGATAAACAAACACACTCAGACATGAACAAAAACATGATCGCCCATTGGCAATATCTGGCACTTTTATTTAAACTTCACTGGATTTTACCATTGTTGCACAAAAGAAATGGCATGAGCTTATCGCGCTTACAAGCCGTCTGAACCAGCTCTGTTTGTGTTGCTGCGGTAGGACGAGCGCTTTAATCCATGTAGGCAACAGCAGTCGCAGTAGGTTGTTTACGTTGTGAAGTCAGTGTCCCTTTTGTAAGACCTTTCCACCAAGCAGAGCCGGGATGTGCTGTTACCGGGGCAACGCTTCTCCCTAAGCCACTCAGGCAGTCCTCAGCCAGACCTCAGCCTTTCGAGCGCCAACGCTGTCATCGGCTAACACACAGACGGACGAGTTCTCCGGAAAGCTAAAGCTGCGTGTAATACCGTCCACTGTGGACTCTTTACTTTCACGAAAAGCGACAAAAGAAACAAATGAAGTTTAGTAATAGATATCTCCAAATGTGTTTGTATTGGATCAGTAGTGTGACACAAAAAATCACCAGTAGGTTGAAAAGTTACATCAGAACTGTAAATCATGTTGATAATACAAAAGGAATATTTTAAAAAAAAAAAAGGCAAAGACTCATCATTTAAATCAAGTCCAGTTCATTTAAGGCAAGAAAAACAAAATCCAGGTATTTTTCATCAGTATGCACCAAGTGACCACCGTTATGGAGCACGTCTGACTCTGTTGCAGGGGCACACAGCTGGTTTTGTATTCTATGACGTAGTTTTCACAATACATGTTCTTTAGCTGTCATTGATCCTGGGCTTTAAAACTGTTTTTTTTTTTTTTTTATCCTGGACAGATTTTAATGAAACTCTCAGAAACTAATCACTGGACGTACATCAACAGCTGATAACCTTTTGGGGTTAAATTGAAATTTAAGATCACCTCAGTATCTAAGCAATATTAACAAGCACAAAAACAGCCATAACTTTGTCCGTGTTAAGGAAAATGAGCAATAATGTGGTGTGGTAGTATTCTTATTTTTATTTATTTTACCTTTATTTTACCAGGCAAGACACCAAGAACAGTTTCTTATTTACGATGTTGACCAGGCAAGTGCCAGAAGGTACTTGAAAAGATAAAAAGTAGGAAATATTAAAGCTGAGTCATCCAAGCACGTACAAAGTACTAACACATGTTCAACATCTTTGTTTAAAACTTTAATATTCAATTCTGAAGTCAGTACAGTCTGTTAGCAAAATGACTCATAAACCTTTGGAAATATTTTAAAGACACTCTCAGAAAGAAAATATGGAATGTACAAATATATTAAACTTTGAAACCAATGTCTGCCACAGCTAATGTGGTATAGCTACTAGTGATGTGGTAGGAGCTGAACGTTATCCACGACACACAAACTGAGTGCCAATACATTTATAACTAGAGAAATTGCATTTCCTGTGAAAATACAGCGTGAATGCTTATTGCTGAAGAATTTGCTGAAAAACAGCTGAAATTAGCTAAAAATAGCTTAAATGGAGCTGAAATGGAAGAACAAGCCTAAGCTAGCAGAAGAAAGCAGAAAGAACACATATTTGCTAAATTAGGTTTAAATAATTAAATAAATGGAATTGAACCCCAAAATTTGGAAATTAGCTGAAAAGCTGAAATTAGCTAAAAGAAAATAGCAGAAACGTATCTGAAAATGCAGAAAGAAGCTTAGACCACCAGTAGAAAGTGGAAATGAGCTAAAAAAAATGGAATTAGCTGAAAAAGCTAAATTTAACACAAAACGGCTAAATAGTAGCTGAAATAGTAGAAAAAATTAAACTAGCAGAAATAAGCTGAAAGGAGCATAACAAGACAAAATTAGTAGAAATAAGCTAATTAGGCTGAAAGCCGCAGAAATTACCATAAAAACTTGAATTTATCTGAGAACAGCTGAATTTAGCTAAGAAATGCTAAAAGTTAGCTGAAAAGATAGAACAAGTTTAAATTAGCAAAAGGAAGTGGAGAGAGCATAATTTTTCCATATCAGGCTGAAAGAAGCAGAAATTAGCACAGAAAGGTGGAAATTATCTGGAAAGAGCTGAAATTAGCAACAAACAAAACACAGCTGAAAAGTAGCTATAAAATCAGAAAGAATGTTAAATAACAAGAAGGAAGTGGAGAGAGCACATTTTTGCTGAATTAGGCTGAAAAAGTTAAAATGAGTGCAAAAAATGTGGAATTAGCTGAAAAAGCTAAAATTAGCATAAAACAGCTACATAGTAGCTGAAGTAGCAAAAATTGCTGAAACGTGCAGAAATATGCTGAAAGGAGCATAACAAGCTGAAATTAGAAAGAAGTTAGAAGAAGCACAAAAATGTTGCAGTTGTCAGAAAGAATCTGAAAGGAGTGCAAAACAACTGAAAAAAAACTGCTAAAATTAGATGAAAGTAGCTGAAAACAGTTTAAATTTGAACAAGGAAGCTGAAAGAAGCTGAAGCAGAACAAAATGTGAAAGGAGCAGTAAAATGTTGTAAACGCATCTAAAGATTTGAAGGATGTAAAATGAGCCGAATTCATTTTCTATGAGGAAAAAGGTGCAGTAAAGGCTAAATGTTTCAAAAAGCTAAAGTTGCACCAATACCAAAAGCCATAGCACCCTTCTCCTGAAAGAGCTGAACGTTTGATTTTTTGGAAATAGCACAAAAATTGTGGAACGAGAAAAATGCCAAAAAAAAGTCGTACGGAAGAAAAAAGGATCACAACAGTGTGAACGCTTCATAAACGTTCACACAATGACGTTGTGTGTAATTTACAAGGTTTGACCAAAATGTTTATAACTCGTACCTTTTCTCATCATGAGATGATGAGAGTTTAAAACTCTGTCATGAAAGTTGGCGGGCGATATGCATTCCTTTAAGGACTGTTGAGGTTTTAATGTTTTTATTGTTCTGAGTGGGACGAGTATGTGTGAGAGGCTCTGGTGTGGAGAAGCACAAACATGATGACCTGCTGAAACAATTTACTCTCAAACACCATCCGCCTTCGCAGAACTAGTCTATGATTGAAAAATGTTTAAGAAAACGAAACCTGCATTTATCCAAGAAGCAATTATGTCTCAGGTGATAAATGTGCCTGCGCGACAGCCCAGCTGTCAGCATTGTTTCGCCTCATCTGCAGCACATCTCTGGGGCTGCAGATGGAAATGTGCTCTGGCTCCACTACACACATCACCTCTTGTTTCCTGCA